CGTGTTGATGAGACGATGCTGTTATATTGACGCGAGAACGTGAGAATTATGTATTGCGATTTGATTTGAAAAAGTAGGCAATATGGCGGCTGATGAAAAGCGCGCGTCTTTCTGATTGTTTGAATTTGGCTAGTTAAATTTGGTCCCGCTAGGGGGACGAGTTCATATTATTGAAGCTATGATTCTTCTGGATTTTTTCCTTTAAAGATAATGATTTACATTTATCATAGATAATAAAATTCTTAAATTGCATATGAATTTTGTTTTATGATACACTTTGCCAAGTCTTTGTAGAATTTAAAACTACTTTATTTAGAATATAGTTCTTTTTCGAATAAAGAAAGAACTAACATGCAATCTTTTCTTTCTATTATAGATCCAAGATGACGAATTCTACCACGTTCCCCTGACTTAATAAACTTTCAATCCTCGAGAAAACAAACCAAGGATCCACCAGTGAATCCATCAAGATAAAATCAATGTCGGAGGCCCGCTATTTCGAAGGCTTTACCATGTCCTTGCAAGAAACAAAATGTTCCATGTATTTTCATAGAAATAGCAACATTACTGAACGCCAATACGAAATATATAAATTTGTAAAATCTAAAGACACTAGAATCTAACGATCCTAATTTTGAAGATCTAAACTTTTGAGAAGACGTTGAAAAGAGATTGGTAAAAATGACATAAAAGAGATATTAAAATTAAAAGTATGGAAGAAACAATTGCGTCGAATTTCGTGTGTTTCAGTTATGCGACATATGGTCGATAGACACTATACTGTTTGGTGACCGGAAGAATCCCTTGGGATGGCACTGGAAGTATAATTGCAAACGGCGAACCGCTAAAACTCCCGGAGAAGCCAGTCATTTTGAAAGATCTCCGCGAGTTGATCTCGAGGATGCTGAATAAGAATTCGCTCGAGAGAATCATGTTGTCAGAGATCAAGGAACACATCTGGCTGACAAACTGTGGCGCTGAATCACTGCCAAGCGAGGCTGATAACTGTCAACTTCCGGTTACCGTCACGGACGAAGAAGTGGAACGAGTTGTTACAAAGATACCCAAGCTCGTCACGCTGATTCTTATCAAAACAATGCTACGACAACACAGCTTTCATGTAAGTGGAAATTCTTTTCTTTAAAATGATGCCAAATTTATTAAAATATTTAATAGATTTTAACAAATTTAATT